CGTTATCTTGATCTACCCATAGAAACTTGAATACCGGTAATCGAACCGTGTGCTATGAAGTTGAGAATTCCCTACTTCGGAAAAGGGGCGAAAAAACGCAGCAGAAAGGGGGCCCCTCCGCCCGTCTGAGAGACATAAAAAAACAAAAAAAATACGAGACCATACCTGAGGAGGCAACTCCAACGACATAGCATACGGTTCGATTATTCCAATTTTTACGGTAATCATTGCTCATCATAACGTTCATTCTCGCTTGGAGTAGGATAGCCGTCGATAGGTGGTCAGTCCTGGTACCGTATTTCTCCAAGATTTTCTTTTTCTCTTCCCCCTTGTTTTTTTTCCTTGAACGCAATTTCCCACAATCCACTCTCCTTCTGCTAGCCGTGAAATTTTACCTCTCTTGGTTAGAGAGCCAATTTGAACCCCTACCGTGGCGTCGAAGGGGAAAAAAGCGTGAGAAATCCGGAGGACCAACAAACTGACGACGGCCTTTGGATGCCGATGGTAATTCCGGGGGGAGAGAACAGGAACATCAGTGGTTCTGGAGTCGCAGAGGGTGCCGGGGGCATTTGACGTTTTTTTAAACGGTAAAAGTCTTCAATGCCACAACCTTGGCATGAAAATATCTACAATACCACAATACCTTAGACTAGTTCGGTCTCTAATTTTTACACCCCCCCCTACAACTGTTTACATGAGTACACACCCCTAAATACAGGCTGCCTATCCATGTGCAGCATAAAACCTTGCAGACATAGATTTCTCATGTTGAATCTCGCTTGGAAACTTGGTAGCTGAACCTTTCACTGACAGGCCAGTCACACAAAACCCCCACAACTCCACTAAAGGAAGAGAAACATTGCCCTAAGTCCGGAGCTGGATGGAGATCAGATAAGGCTACTACTATAGGATCAGGGGAGCAAAACATCCACAAAAACTCAGGAAGGAAAGAAAGTGATGAGTTGTGTCATGGTGAAAATTTTTCATCTATAATACTGGTACTAGTCCAACATGTTGTGGCATTGTGGATATTTTTGCACTGGGGTTGTGGCATTGTAGATATTTTCACGCCGGGGTTGTGGCATTGAAGACTTTTACCGTTTTTTAAAGTGTCTGGGAGATGAGTTACGTGATCCATGACCCAAGCCGCGACGTTTACAGCAAAATTTGGCGCGGTGAAGGCATCCATTATACGAGTACCATAAGTGGATCACTTGTTTGTTCCGAAGACTTATGAAAATTGTCGAGTGCAGTACTGGTATGATACTGTACTCGAGTACCGGCAGGGAACCGTTATGGAATGAAATGGAATTTCTGCGGGAGATGGCTCTACCCTGAGGCGTTCCGGTGACCTCAGTCAGGCTCATGAAATATAACAGTCAAGGCGGTAGCCTCCAAGGGCGAAGATTAACCCCTAATCAACACACCATAATATCAACCCGGAATATTATACCCGAGTAAATCGACAAACAAACAAACACGGGAAATAAAATGGACGCTTCGAAAAACGAGAATTTTCACGCGCCTTTCCACCAGGCTGCGATGGGAAGAATGCGGTATCATACTCGAGCGGACTGTAGTAAATACTCCTCATCCCCCTAAAATACCGGCGTCATAGCCCACACCACCCCCGTCAGGCCCCGGAACAACAATGAAAGGAGTGTCCGTCCCCGCGTACCCCAGCCTTCCCCCCGCTTGGGTACGTGCATACGGTAACCTGGACTACAGTATGACACCACAAAACTGTGGCCAAGCCACTCATTCGCTTCTCACAGTACTGCATGGTGCCATGGAGGAAACGCACCCCAAACGAGTGCCGGGGCTTGCATATCACAACGGACCACACGCACCGCTTCAACCCTATGAAAATCACCAAAGACGGTACGGTGCTGCGCTGGACTACCGTAGGACCAGTGCATTCCAGTGCGGAGGCAGAGTGCCGAGCGGATTCCAACGTTTCCATGCTCCTTCCCAGGCTTCCCTCTGCCGTACTCGAGCACAGTCCCGAATGGAACGCCTAGCCACAGGGCTCGAGTATCGTACCGGCGCAAATAAGCATTGAGAGGCGCATCTACCCCCAGGCCGCCCAATACGGTAAATCGGACTGCCGAAACAAAGAGAGGACGAAGGCCAAGTCGGGAAATAAGGTTCTCGCTACTGCAAGCGATGGGGGACTCGCGAGCAAGGGTCCGAAACTATTCTTAGGAGGGCTTAAGCTTAATGAGACCTTGGCACGATATGACAATGCGGAGGATTGTTCTGCTATTCGAGCAGACTACCGTACCGGTGCTACAAGAGAGGGTGGGACTTCCTTTCTGGGTTGGGTTCATTCCCACAAGTGTGACGTGGTATCGGTATTTACATTTTCGCACTGCGCCTTCTGAAGGCACAGCACCGGTACTCGAGCGGATGGCGTTGGAAGTTGGTGGTACTAGTACAACAAGGGCCAGAATTCCCATCGTACCACACTCTCCTAGTACCGTATGATAGCTGCGAGCCTCACCTCCTCCAGTTGGAGAGCCGGTCCTGACCCCTACCGTGGTGTAGAGAGAGGGGGGAAGTACCGTAGGGTACTGGTAATTGGGAAAGTTAGGGCTGACAAACCCACCACCTTTTCGAAACTAATAATACAAGCGAATCCCAATTCTTTTTTAGTGTCTCTTGCAGGGCACCCAGCTCGGCCGTTGCACAAGGACTCCTAGAATGACATGACAATCGAGTACGGTGCTGGTACTGTGCTGCTCGTAGCGTACAAGTAGCACCGGTACTAGTACTTGTAACAGCAGAGATAGCCTGTGCCCGAGCACCCTACTAGCACTGCACAAGTACCCCATTCGTTAAAGAAAGAAGTTGGTCCCTACAATAATGTTTTTGGTAAACAAGAAAAAATACCCAGCAGCCATCTGATCTGACGCAATTGTCAATCGATAAGACTTGCCGAAATTTTTGCGGCAAGGTAAGCATTCTGCGATACCACAGCAAGAGCATGGTACTTGAGTACTGATATCGCATTCCCCATCACGGCCTAGCAGAGCAGCACTCAAGCTCCACCAGGGCAAAAAGCACCACCCACCAATTAGATGGAGGAACTTTGATCCCATAAAAAGCGGAATATGGCAATTGGACGGACGCGCTATGCAGTCCAAAACTCCCCCCTCTCGAGAGGGGGAGGCGCAAAAAAAACACAGCCCCTTTCCTATTCCGAGACGGAGGACAGAAATTCCTTGACCTTACCGAAGCCGGGGGACCCCAACGACACGGCGCACCATCCAATGATTCAGGTCCTAGATTATGGGTGTTAAACCTGGGGAGCAAAGTAATTTACGGTATTCGAACACCACCGCCCTCCAAGTTTTTTCGCAGGCGGAGGAGTACTGTAGGAGCGCCGGTACGGTAAGGTACTGCACCTTGAGCCATCCGGCAAGAACCGACATGCGCTGGCGCGTTGGACTAAGTTTTTTCTTCTTTTTCTTTTTCCTCTCTTTCTTTCTATTCCTGTTTTGTCTTGGAAGCAAGGTAAAGCGCCATCTATCACACGCCGAGGCTGCATAACGAGGACTAACCTGACCATTTCAGGGTTTCCGTTTTTGATGCAATTGTAGGGTTCGTATCGGCCGCTTCTTGCTTCGAGAGTGTCTGCTGGTTAGTTTTCGCTTAGTGTTTGGTATGATACGGGATGATTCAGTGGTATCCCCTCCTTTGATTTCGTTGTCTTGTGCTACTTGGGGCATTATACCGGAGAAGGAAACATCTTCAAGTTCGATCCCAGACCACTCGAAGGGTCACAAAACCCAAACCCCTTTCGTTGCCATGACTTATGTTATACCCTCTTCTCTCCCACATCCGCTCTGCGTTCCTTCTCCAATACTGGTTTGCGCGCCCAAAAGCTGTGAAATTCGGGAACAAACGAAGGGATAGTACGACAGGGTCTTGGCCACAGCAGCGTTCATCCGGCCCGGCCCATGGGAGCTATCACAAATCTCCCAGCTAGTGTGCAAAAGTGGATGGGTTGTCGAAAGTCGAAAGCCGCATAAATCATCATAAGGTTACAGGTTAGATACTTTGCGAATACCGGGCTTACCGAGGGAGGGAGAGAGAGATGGAAGTAAATAAAGGTCATATCGAACATGGTACCAGTGGTCGAATTTTGTGGTTGAGGCGGGTAGTATCAATATTTGCTGTATCATACTGGTACAATACTCGAGTACGGTACCGTACCGTGCTGTCGAGGACGTTCATTACCGCCAAGGATCTCCACATTACCGGTAACCCGGTACCGGCATCTCCCTCGGCAAAGACCTTTCGCTTCTCCCCCCTCCTCCACCTGGCGTTCTCTCTCTTTTTCTTTTTTTTTTCCCCCGCGGGGATAACGAGCGCCCATAGCAGCCACGTGTCCAAGTTGGCGATAAAGATGCCAAGTTGTAAAAAGTGGCTGAGGGAAAACCCGTAAGTTACTCGTAATTAGCACGGCAACCACCAGTACGGGTTGGTGGTATTGGCTAGCCTCCAGCTCGATTTGTATACCGTCCAATACGGGTGTGATCCAAGGCTTTTCGTGTCGAGTCTGCTGCGCCCTCGCATTCGACAGCTCCCATGCATGCATGCATGCTTCTTCTACAGGTGGTTGGACGAATACTGGTAGGACTCCAAGTGCGTTAGAGTATGACTGGTGCAGGAGAAAAAGTGAGAGGCTCCCTCTTTTCCCCCTCCAGTCACAGCAAAAGCCCCCCTTTCCCCCCCCCCCTCTCCCAAGTTCCATATCTCTCGGCCCAAACGCACCCACACAACTCACTCGCCTGTCACCATCTCGCCCGTCATCGTAAAGTGCATCGGATGATTCATGTTGTGGCCTGCCCCACGGACCTTGCACCATATGATATATATACGGCCTTGGCGAGCTTGCAGGAGGCGGGAAAGATAGGAACTCCCCGGCACCGAGACATTGCATTGCACAGCCCCACGAATAGCATATCAGGAATTTGGGAATCGCATCGATTGGGTTTCAACATAGAGTCGCGCGTGTGCAAAGGAGCTCCTCGTGGTATAGATTATTATCAACTAAATATGTTTTCCATCGCAAGAACTTAGAAAGTCATGGCATAGTAGTACATCCCCATCCCCATCCCCATCCCCCATCAAACAGCACTCAGGGAAAATCTGCTGAGACGAGGTATGACGGACGAGAAAAAGAAAAAAAACCAAGAAAAAAAAACCAAGCCAACTCAATCTCCACCGCAATTGTTTATCCCCGGTTTTAGACCAAGAATGCGACTGCCACTGCGCCAACAGCGCCGACGGTAGTGAGTTGGGCGACGTGGTTTGGCAAGCCAAAGCTCACAGCAGTTCCAGATGCTGGGGCACATCATTAGCGCTTGTTATGATCAAGGGTCTTTCTTCGAAAATGGAACTAACCTTGAGGCTCCTCCTCCCCACTGCTGCTGCTGCTCGAGCTGGACTTGCCCTTCTTTGGCGAGCGAACGACGAGGTTGGGGCGTCCCTCAAATGGGGAGCGGCGCTCGATTGCAGACGCGGCGATGGGCGTGGCCATGAATGCGATGAGGGCAACGAGGAAAGAGATGAAGATAACGGTTCTCATTTTGATCGATTGATTGTGGTTGGTCGATTGGCAAGCGAAATTCGTGAAAGACGTGTGTATCAAGGGGAGTTGCGAGTTTGAGGCTCCGCGAGACTAACTTGCACGAGTGGTTGAGAATGGGATGGGAAGCTCGAGGGGGAGGAAGTGGTTGATATTTAAGCTTTTCATTTTTTTCTTTTCCGTCGAGCAAGGGCCCGGCCTGTTTAGGCTTGTCCCACTCGAGTGCACAACATGCGCCTCACGAAACATGGCTTCAGGGAAGCCGTAACTTGAAAGAAAGAAAAAGAAAAAAAAGAGAAAAAAAAAAGGAAAGAGTTACGGGGAACCTCTGGCCCTCAGTGACGGGCAGTGCTCAATGCCAACAATCACGGCTGCCAAGAGGTTACTGCCCTTTCATCTGATCCCCCATCAACGTGTCCTGAAGGGTCTCGTCGAGCCCAAGGGTGCACACCTACAGTACCATACCTTCCCCAACGGCAACCTCCATAACGTGAGGGTCACTCGAGTACGGTACCCCATCATATCCTTAGTGTCCTTCCGCAGTTAAACTCCACGATGCTCCAACCACTCGCACCCGGCACTGCCCTTCACCATCTCCACTAGCGAGCCAGGGCTGAGAGGACCAAAAAGCCACTGCACGAGATCAAGCTTCAGGACGATAACTCGTCCATCCCGGACTCGCCTATTACCGGTATTTTTACCTGGTATTGTTATTATTAGGGGTGTTCAGCCCCGCGGGGTCGGAATGGTCATTTTGATTGTACGAGTATGTGCAGAGGGGGAGGGAAAGAAAAGAAAAGAAAAAAAGGGCGTTAAGCGCACGGTTCTTCGACTTGAACGGCTTGCATAACTTGAACCGTTTTCTTTATCAACAGCCCTGGGCTGAATGTGCTCCACCGTACCGTATTTGCTCGGCCTGCGAAACAATAACCGTTGGATGGAGAAAAACAAGAATTGGAACTGCCAGGATGGATAAGCCGTGTTCTAATCAAGATTCAGCCTGGTGCTTATTTTAACTCGGTATCACTGGTAAGGTAGCACAGCACGAACCCGCTCGTACGGATTCATAGAAATTGGTTTGTACTCATACTTGTACGAGCAGTCTATCCGTGCCGTATGGTACTCTTACGGCAGTCCGCTGGTGCAATTACCACCCTGAGTGGGTTTCAAGGCTCTCCATTCTTCTTTCCCCTGCTGGCTGCGGCCGCAAATTGATGGATGATGTGGGAAGCATACCGGTAATCATTCCCAGCATCGCTCCGCCAGCTGAAGGGAAAGGGATATGCACGCGCCCAAGGGATCCTAGGGAATGTAAACACGGTTACAGCAATCGACAGTGTCCATATCTCAGCCCGGCGCTGATTAATGACGGGCTGGTTACTTGTACTCGTACAATAGGGTACAGGTATCATGCACCACTGTACGACGGGATGGATGAGCCCGGTCCGAATTTCCCATAGCCCGCGGCCTTGTCGTGGGGAAGGCGGGTGGTGGGAGGTTCAGAATACGAGGGCAACACAGAGTGTACCGTAAAAGTATAGCGTCGTACCGTACCGTTCCGCACGAGGTAACAGTACTCGAGTATGCACGGCACGGTAGGTTATACGTGCGGCGGTGTCATAGGCGCCTTGAAGAATGCCCTTCCACAACCAATTCTCCAGTTGGAAGTTAGCATTTATGAAAATTTCTGGCCGACCTTCTGGTTTGGTGGGTACGGTACAAGTACCGGCAACATGGTTCGGTTCTCAGTCAGGGGCAAAGGTCCCCCCAACTTCATACAGTATGACCATTCACGGGAATTGTTTGATCCCCTGAATTCCTCCTATCGCTCACCGAATCATCGTATTGTACCGTACTAGTGCCTCTGGATACGAGGTTTCCGTACTAGTAGCGGTACCCTGGCCCTGACTCACCGTATGATATTCATTCGAGCAATCTCGCGAATGGTGATACGATATAACTTACCCACAGCACTAGTACTCGTACATCCATCGTGCCGTCACAACGACCAATCGGATGGGGGAGTGGTCTACCGGTAAGGGTCCAAGAATGAACCCTTCCCGGTACAAGTAGTCCATTTCTCCGGTGGAAGGGAAAAAAAATCCTCACTCGACCTCAAACCCGTTACAGGTGAACCACCGCAGAAGCTTTCGGGTCGATCAATGCCAAGACCGGATCCAACTTGATGTTCTGATCGCGTACCGGTACCGTACCGTAAGATAAAAAAAAAGGAGACCCCCTCCAGCTGTCAAATTACCGGTAATCTCGTAATCGTATCGTACCGGCACAGTGCATGGGGTACTCCTGCGTGCACTACTGCACGAATGGAGACAATATACCGTACCTGTAGTCTAAAAATCCTTAGAATTCGCTAACCTCCATTCACCCGCAAATCTCACGACCAGGCGACAAATATTCCCGAGAAGGATCGCTCCCTTCTGGACATGGTAACTTATAGCCCGAGCACTTTGACTGTGTTGGCACCCCCCATCACTAACCGGATCTCGCGATTCCATTACTCGTACAACTAACTTGCAAGAGATTAATCCTGTCATGGGGCTGATGTCGTGATCTGCGGGGATATTCGAAACAGTACGGGCACTGCACTGTACGAGTGCCTACGGAGACAGCAAATTCTAAGGATTTTTTTTTTTCCCTTTCACTACAGTGTATTACATAATCGAGTATGGGATTACTCATCAGTAGGCGGCATTTAGAGTATTGTACTGTACTCGAGTACTCGTATGAAGCGCCTCATTCGAAGCGGTCATTCGTTCCACAGGGCTGAGGGAGACCTCCTAAGGAGGTATCATACCGATACGGCAGAAAGCTTACCCGTGCTGTGCTAATCGCTTGGCGGGGCAAAAGCAGGCATTCGTTTCAACCACATGGGATTGTACCGTAACTTTACTTGTAAGTGCAGGGTTGGCAGAGAGGAAATACAGCACCTACTGTAGGTAGGGGGAATGCTGCGGCAGGGCTGTGGTGGTTGTGGCCCGATGCGTGTCGATTTAAGCTTTCTACTGCGGCGTTGGGATTGGAAGGTGAGTCGGACTTTTACTGGCCGATTGGTTATGCTGCTTACTGCACCGGTATGGTGATGATTATGGTGATGGTGGTGGTGGTGGTGGGGGTAATAAGTCTGACAGGGGACTTTGAAAGAAATATTTTTCTCGGCGTGATACAGTATGATGCAGGGAAGATCACCAAAATGGGAGGGGTAAGCTACCGGTACAGTACGAGTACAGTACAGTACGGGTACCGCAATTCCATACAGTAGAATCGGATCACGCCTTCGTGTCGCAACCGTACAAGTATGATATATAATGATACCGTAGCCAATAAAATATGGTTGCATTTGCATGGCTCTAGGAAAAAAAAAAAGACGGGCACCGCAAATCCCCCCCCTACGAACCACGTACTAGGAGTTTTTCCGGTTCTGGAGCGCCGGGTATTGGCCAATGTTGGGCAGCATTTTAGAAGGGTGAAATATGCTCTTCGGGGCGACAATTACCGTACTCACCTAACTTATCACGCATTCGGATCTCCCAATCGCGGCGGACTAACCTACCTCACCTGTATGATAAGGAAACCTGAACAATCGGCACTCGCGCTAGGGCGTCCGGAATACCCTCTCTCGGATAAGGGGGGGGGAGGGGGGAGTAAAACACTTCGAAAACTGGTTCCCCTCCCTGAGTCCTAGCTTAAGGCAGAAAGTGTGCCGGGCCATTCCAATATAATAAGTAAAAGGCGAGTCCAACGTCCCAGCACTAGTGCTAATTATTTGAGTTCCTGCGGTATTCTACTGCGCGATTCTACAGCTGATTTAGCGGATGACTACCCGCCGTCAGCAGGTTGTCCCATCTGGGGAAGCAGGCAGGTAGGCAGGTAGGTATGTAGGTAGGTCAACCTAGGTATAGATGCAGTTAACAGAGGGAATCGCATCTACTTCTAACAACTTTCAGCTCGAAACATTCCCTCCGCTCTGAGACTCGCTGGGAGCAGACAGACAGTAGAGATCGGTTCTGCTGAAAGTCTAGGGATTCCTGCTGGTTGAGGGTTTCGTTCGTTCCCTTGGGCAGCCCCGCGCCGCATGGATACATGGGACTGGAGAGAAAGTGCAGGGAGGGGAAATGCCTTCACCGCGCCTGTCCATCATTCGCCGGGAAAAATACAAGTGAGGTCACACACCCACGGCTAACAGTTCACTCGTGGCTGCCCTTGTGCTACCTCGCTCGGCTGCGCTTGCACTATATGTTTCCTTTCGATGAGCTTAGCGCGGGGCGGGGGGTTACACTTCCGCCATAGACTATCACTCGCACTAGTCGGGTGCTGTTGCCATCAGTATTTTTCGCAGGAGTTACAACATCGTGGTAGGGGGCGACCTCAACAAACCCTTCCCCCGCAATTACCTGAGAGGGCTCTCAAGTTCGTCTCATTTCGAAAGACCTTTGGGGTGTGTCTAAGGGTTAGTGTCGCTGCTGGGGGGTATGATAGCAGAGCTAATTCTCTCTGGATATGGCCCCTAGCTCTTCCGGCATGATAGCTCGCACCGAACAGCTGAAGCGCACCCTGCCCTCTGCATTCCTTGCATTGGGTCGGGTTGGCTTACGGTTTGCTTGAACTCTGCGCCGTGATCTTATTCACCCTCCGCATAAAACTCTCACATTGGGTGATATTGGTCTGGTCGAGGTATGAGATGGATAAAGTACCCGTATGATGTTGTTCCAAGAATGTGTTGCTCCGTCACATCCATTAGAGCAGTTGGCCTGATAGGGGTCACGGTCTTCTGGGATGACGATATTGCCCTGGAGGTAAGTGTAGGGAGCGCGTTTCTTGTTCCCGCAAAACCATATCATGCCTGTCACCAGCTTATCACATTTGCGGATAATCATGATTTCGTTCTAGGTTATTAAGGATTCGGGGAATGGTTTGGTCTCGGAGGCTTTGGTTCTATCACGCGGTATTATTCTACCCGGAACGACTAATAAATGGCGCAGCGGCGGAGTGAGAGGATCTCTTTTGTTTCGGTGTTGTGTGGGTGAGAAAGCTGTGCTTATGTGCTCGGTTATCTTTATTCGGCCGCTTCTTCATCTGAGCTGGCGGTAAAAAGATAGGAAGATATATATAAAACATAAGCAAAAGCATCGTGGCCCTTCGATGGATCACCACCACAACGTACTGGTATCTCTGTGCTTCTCCACTTGTATCTTCATTGCCATGGCGACAAAGGAAAGGAAATACATGCTTGGAGAGCCCCCTCTCGGTAAATCACCGTGGCCAGCACAATCCATCGCGCTCCCAAAGAATTCACTGGACACCGGTGATCACTTTCCTCACGATCCCCGACAAACCCTCGTTGCTCCGCCCCCGGCGGCTTCGCGATATATAGCATCACCCCTCTCTCCACCCCCATCCACCGAGAAACGCACAACTCCCTACCCGTAACGGCACAGCCCGCTTGCTAAACCCTCTACACTTCCCCGTTTGGAGGGGAGCTAGCTGGTCCGTGGGAAGTACAGTACCATCAATATCGGAAACGGTACAGCCCCGGATATAATCATTTATGCTTATCGGCCCCCCACCCCACGCTTCAACCCTAACAGCATTAAGGTTTCAACCTGCCGGTATTCTCCGGTGAATAAGGGGGTGGTCATATGCGCATATGATACCGTACTGGTATATAAAAAGTATCAGCGTGGGGGGGCAGAAAGTCCAGCCGTGACAATGAGGAGTTATGCACCATCGACGAACAAAAAGAAGAAAACGGGTAGGAGGGGAACACTGCATGCCTACAGCAAGGACCTTTCGTGCTTACCCGATTACGGCGGAAGACCAGTCGGTCGCAGCGGCGATGACTTATCTTATCCGCAATGCAAAAATCGGTTGCATTGACTCTCCCGCCAGACAGGGATAGATTTTGCGATTTCAGCTGAGTACAAGTAGAATACGGTACCCTACCGTCCTATTGCAATCGGTAGCTGAAGGACCACCACACACCACACTTTTTGACAAAGTGTGTGACAGGAATGATAGGGTGTCGCGACAACTGGGCTGTGCGCTATCATATCATAATTTACTTGTAGATTTCCAACAGAAACAACAACAAAAAAAAACTGTTATTTTTGGTGCAATCACTAAAGGAATGCCTCCAATAGGGTGAACTTGTCTTCCAGAAATCACTTTTTCCCCCACTTTTTCCCATTGTTATCCTCCAGGAGAGTACTCGTACTAAGCCAGTACGCTATCTCGCTACGAGTAGCACTTTTAGAAGTGGCAGCATACGTCGGTGCCATAAAGACAATTTCACAAAAGCCACGCATTGAAAATCATCATCAAATTTCATCGCCAATCAATCGAACAGAACCCCCTTCCGTGATATGAGCCCCCCTCGAAGGGGCGGGAGGGGGGGGGTGGCTGCAAACAAAATACGCGAAATAATCGCGACGAAGGCAGGGAACCACAAAGCTGGCCTGACTACTGTATCATACGAGTATAATACCGTACCATGATCCCCCATGCATCGTTTATTCTGCCGAAAACATCCCGGAACAATCTTCGCCGTTCCATTGTACTCGAGCACGGCACCGTACCCCGCTACCGTTTTATCCCTCCGAGTATCCACGCAACGTTTGTAAAACGTTTCTGACGCTGGGCCGTTGAGGGGCGGGACACATCCGGGTGAACGCATGGGGGAGGTACAAGTATGACAGGTTTGTTATTATTAGCGGGGTATGGAATACAGCACGTGTGGTCCGTCCCTCTTCCACACTTTTTTTTTTTTTTGTCTTTTATCTTTTTGTGGTTGTGGTGTGGGCTTGAGATGTAACTTAGTACCGGTACTTTACAATTTTATTTTTTTGAGGGGGGGGGGGAGGGAGGGTACGGTAGTAAGAAATATTAGGTTTTGTAATCATGGGATATCGCTCGGTCGGGCAAGTGCAAGTTCCCGATACGTTGATATGGTTCCGGAGGGCTATCATACTAAGCTCTAAACCAGTTTTCCGTACTCAAGGCGTGTCTGTTTTTTTTTTTTTCCTGCGATGGCAACTGTAACAACTCGAGGTTTGTTGCCCTGCCTTCTTAGAAGCATGAAAGCCGAACTTGTTCAGGTTGTCATGGGCACCTATTATTATTATAGGTGGTATTTGGCCATACTGCTATCATACCATAATATTATTATGATACAGTAAGATGCCTACTAATGGTTTATGGATATATTACTTTACTATAATATCATACTGCTATATGATTCTAATTCAGCGGGGGTTTTTTTTTTTCAATACAATAGATATTTTGTGTATGGGCATTTTTGTAATAGAATTTTACTTTTTGCTGGAAAATCATACTTCAATTTAGTCCACCAGTATTGAATAGTACCTGCTAGAAAATTTCCACCAATCAGTATGTTTTGCAACCCCTAAAGTTAGTTGGTACTATTCAATACCTATCGTTCCGGAAGACTAATAGCCGGTTCCCCTCCTATATTCTGCTGTCGCTCATAGTCGGTAGAAGCAAGTGTGATGCGGAAGCAAGTGTAACGCCCCATAAAAAATAGGAGTTTTTCTTTTAAGCTTATTCAATTCTAATAGGTTTCCATACTACCAGTTATTAACCATATATCTGTGTTTACATATAAGATATAAAGTGAATAATAAACCTACTATAGGTAGCTATTAAATTTAGGTATGTTAAAAGGTGCAAAAATGGAATTTTTTATGGTGCGTCACACTTGCTTCCACCGACTATTAGACGTAGGACCACTTTTCTAACGAAAACTGTGACAATTTTGGATGTAAGGTTGTTCATAAAGCCTTTGGTTAAGCTCTGTAACCTGTACCAATGATTATTAAAAATACTATTATGAATTAACCCCTTTTAAATTGGGTTTTGTTCTTGTTGGCAACTAGAAAATAGGTTACGCTAAACTTAAATCCAGGGCATTACAAAAAACGTTACACCCAAAACTGTCACAGTTTTCGTTAGAAAGTGGTCCTAAGTTACGTCTAGTCTTCCAGAACCATACACAAGAAACTCCGCGAGAGAAGGTAAAATGAAAAAAAAAAGACGCTATCCATGTTGTGTTATAACCCAATCCCTATGAAAACTATGGCTAAAAGTAAACAGTGAAAGGAAAGTTTGTATCCAAATTATATGCCCGTTTCCAGCCCAACAATCCGTCCAGACCAACAAATCCCAAGTACGATATGGTAATAAAAAAAAAGGTAAAAGTAGAACCACCCCAATTAAATCACTGCGGAAAACCACACATCAAAAGAAAGAAACTAGTGATTATACTGAACGAGAAAACGCGGGAAAAGAAAAAAAAAAGAGGACCCCAACCCCCAAACACCCAGACAAATGAAACAGAAGCAAATGGTGTACTTTACTTAAAAGAAAACAAGTAATTATCCCCTCTTAACAAACAACCTCCTCGTCCCCCCCACCTTTCCAATCTCCCCCAACTTGCCTCCAAACTCCCTCCCGCTATAATCCCCCCCTTGCCCCCCTCCTCCACCTAGAGGCACAGACCCCTCGACAGCCACCTCGTCAACCCCTCCATCTCCATAGTGTCCGGCAGCGGCAGCCAGTAACTGGGTCCTCCTGTCCGCGCTGGCCTTCCTAACCTGCCCCAGCATGTCTTCAACCCAGGCTTGGTTGTCTGGGTGCACATTCTTGCCCTTTGGACCGGCAAGGCCGAGCGGCTGTGGTTGGGGAAGAAGTGATGGCGGAGAGTACCCGTTTACAGAGCCGGAGTCGCCGAATACTGATTCCGAGAACGAGAGCCGGGAAGTGGGTCTTCGATAGCCGACGGATGAAGATGAACCCGGTCGGGAAGCTGGGCGACCGGGCGGCGAATTGCGGTTCGGCGGTGTGAGCTGGACGGCTGTGACTGGCTGCGGAGGGAAGGTTTCGTCGGGAGGGGTTGTTGGTGATATCCTGCTATTTCTAGACAAAGTGCCATTGTGTCCACCTCGCATTGTTGTTGAGTTGGTATGAAGTGACGGGTTTTCACTCTCCGATCGCTTCATCAACATGGGGCTTTCTGGACGTCGCATGCTGAGCGACGTTGATGGGCGGTTGCCACCTGGAAGAGGAGAGCTTGGCCGGCTACCCATGGGCCCGGGACTCACGCTTCGAAAGGAGGAGATAGACCTGGATGGATGTAGCGTCCGACCGTGATGAGTGTGAGTTGAAAGATCTTGAATCTCCACTCTGCCCTCCGAGACAACCCTTCTCTTTGACCCGTGATGCGTTGCATACTCCTTGAGGTATTCCGCCAAATCTGCCCACCCACCGCCAACACGTACCATCACTCTCTCTCCATTCTCTCCCACCAGCCGAATATAAAGCTTAATGGGCGCTTGGCCATCCGTACGATGGAGATGGTAAAGCTTGATGTCACCAGGGCTACTTGAATTGTGCCTTCTAGCAGACGCGCGAGCATATGAAGGCACCTCAGAGGCGATGGATGGAGATGACCCTACCGACCCGGGACCTGGAATCCCTGTGGGAGACGATAGGTCAAAGGGCTTTATAGGGGGTTGCCGCTTGGTTGACTCGCTGAGTTTCTGTAGGTTTGACGCTGTCAAGCGGACCTTGGACGGTAGGCTGCCCAAAATCTCATTGATCTTATCGTCGAGATCCACCTGGAGTATCGGCGTGGTAGGAAGAACTAGGGAGGAGCCTTGTGCCACATGCGGCCCCTTGTTGGATCGCGAACTCTTCTCCGGAGTGACCGTGCTTGTGAAATTCGAAGGTTGTCGAACATGCCTCTTGGTAACTTGAAGCTTTGGCGCCTTAACAAAATCTGGTGAATTGAGCATTTCCGGGGTGTTCTCGCGGAGGAAACGCCGAGGGTCGTCATCTTCATCGGAGTCTGCCCCAGTGGTTGATACCGTGTCACGACGTAATCCCCGCATAGGCCTTATAGCGGGAGCGGGAGTCCCAGTCGGAGTTGAAGAGTTCGACCCGTCGCCAGCAGCCCCGCCGGGTGTCGACAAACCTGCTCGGGGGGAGGGCCCTGCTATCCCTGTATCCCGCGCCCTACTTGGCGGACGATATTCTTGCGCCCTGCTCGAGGGACGATTACCCTGTCTGCTAGAGGGCCGGGCCTCCACTCTGCTTGTCGGCCGCTATTGAAAAATTAGCACTTAAGCTCCCAAAGCCAGAAACAGTACAAACCCTATATTCAGTGGTAGCGCTAGGAGCCGAAGAGCTCGAGCACAGAGTAAATCTCTGCTTCTGGTCCTTCGCAAGACCTTTACCAAAGGTTGGCGTGCTACTCCGTGGAGGAACAGACCGGTTTTTAGAAGCGGAAGTCGCGCGCGTTGGATCCCTCCAGATCTCCCGCTCCGCCACCTTCTCTGACAGCTCAATTGGCAGCATTTCCTTCTCCACCCTCTCATCTGGAACGATCGGCGAGGAGAAAACACCATCTCCTAGAGAGTCTGCTCCCTCTCTATCCCCAGAAAAGCCATCTAGACCAGGGCTATCGTTCCGGCAACGATCGGAATCGTCGAAACGCTGTCCCCTTGTCGAGCGAGGGGTCAGAACTTCCACAATACTATCCAGTCCAGTCGTAACTGTCAGTCGTCGATTTCCCTTCGGAGTTGAAGTAGCAACGGGCTTAATCTCAATCTCGGAACTCTCCTCCTGTTCGAAATAACTCATACTGCCCGACATATCTGCCTGGTCACCCTCACCCATCGAGGCGCGAGAGAGCGAAATGCCAAATGATCCATTTTGGCTATCAGGAGATTGAGGAGACACTCCGCGCCGAGGGGTACCCGCGGAATCCTCGTCGTGGCTGTGTTCTAGGGAATCCCCTTTCTGAGGTGTATTCCCCTTTTGGGGTGTGGATGGCGCCAGAATAATTGAAGGGGTGTCAAACGAATAGCCGCGCGATAGCAAAAAGTCCTCGTCGTCAAAATGTCGGAAATCCTCTGCTCGTTCATTAGCATAACACTAAACACCTTAAAGCTAACACATACCTTGTGATCTCGAGCCTTCAGGGGAATCGAACATATATTGGCCCGGAGGGGATAGGTTAGGAATGTTTCCAAGACCTTTAGCCGGCGTTTTGGGTTCGACAAATGTCTCGGGCGGCAAGAGCTCGCTGGGATCAACAGCTAGAACATCTTCACAGCCCATCGCCGACTTCTCTGGCTCACCGCTGTCCAAAGCCACATGTTCATCAGCCGAATTGTCAGCAATCAGTAGTTTGTCAAACGTCAATTTGATTCCCTTCCCTCTTCCGTCTTCGTCCTCATTCCCGCCGCCACCAGAGCTGCCTATATCAAAACTAGTTTCAGAAATTTGCTCCCAAACATGCGCTAGGTTAGAAGGCATCTCAACAGAGGGTTTGATACCCGCCCTGCCCGACAGCTTGTAGTCCTGATCATCGGAATTCGGGGGCGAAGGCAGCTTAGCGGCGGTGGGTTGATCTATGTGCATTGGTGATGATGGGGCCGGGGATTCAGGGGTAGCCATGACGGATTCCAAGCTTCGACTAACTTCCCCAAGTAAAATGTCTTCTGGCTCCTGGATCGCACGTGGAGTCTCGTATCCAGTCTGCGCCTTCCATATGTCCGAATAGTCTAGATCATCTCCTGACCCGTCCGACTCAGCCGCAGTATCGAATACATCAGAGGTCAGATCATCTTCAACTGTAGCCGTAGATCCCGTCTCGATGCCCCGGAACCCTTCCGTTCCAGTGTCCGAAGCATCGGCTCCCAAAGCGTTGTTTGCTCTTTGCCTTAGAGTCTCCGCCTTCACCCTCTCCACCTCGATCTCCCGCTCGCGCTGCACCCTCTCAGCCTGTTGCCTGGCCTCTCTCGCCTTCTCCCGCTCAGCCAAAGCCACATCCGCCAATCTCACCCGCTCGTCCTCAGCAAGCCGTCTTTGTCGATCCAATTCTTGGAACTTGTTGTCGTCAAATTTGGCCTGTCCGCTGATAAAGACTTGACGAGCGGCCTCCACTACAGCAGCCCTCTCCGCTTCAGCCGCCCTCCGCTCTTCCAAGGCTTTTGCTGCAGCCGTCTCTTCTTCGTGGCGTTGAGCATCGAGGCGTTGGCGCTCGGCCTCGGCAAGCCGCTCAAGCTCCGCAGCCTTTTCCTTTTCGGCCGCCTCCTCGGCAAGTAGAAGGCGCTCAGTTTCGGCAACCTTTTCCGCTTCAAGTTCCAGGCGGGCCTTTTCGGCAAGCTCCTCTTCTGCGGCGAGTCTCTGAGCTTCCAGCACGGCTGCTTTTCGTGCCTCAGCCTCAGGGGTCTTCTCAGCTTCTGCAAGTTTGGTAATTCTCTCACGCTCAGCTTGTTCGTGGGCAAGTCGCTGGCGCTCGGCTTCTGCTTCCCACTTCCCATCTACTCTCTTTTCGGACTCCACACGTAGCACAGCTTGTTGGGCTCCCGATTCACCACCTGTACATTCCGCAGCTGGTGATCGCTCCTTCTTCAACGACTCCTCCATCTCAGCGGTAACCCTCTGTTTGATTTTCTCATCGTCTGCTGGGGTTTCGGGGTGTGTGGGCTGCACTAGTATTGGAGCCGGTTGTGCGGTGGCTTGCCGCGGTTGAATAGTGGGCTTCACAGTTGCTGGCTGGGATTGCTGGGACATGCTTCCACCTCGTAGGAGTGTCTCCATCTCCTCGACAACCTTCCGGCGGATTCTCTCGTCGTCATCCGAATAAATTACCTGGGGTGCTGGAGTGGTTGTTGTGCAAGTTGCGCAAGGCACAGGAAGGGCCTGTTGTGCTGCTTCCAGAACACGAGAGACAGGCTCCTGCAGCGCCGGCTCATCGGCTGCAGGGGCAGTGTCATGGATCATCATTTCCTCCATCTGCCGAACGATCTGCTGCCGGATTTGTTCGTCTTCATTGCCCCCAGCAGGAGCGATGATAGACCGAGGTTCGGGTTGCAATATGCATTGCTGTGACTCTAGATCTATGGACCCGGATGGAGCCGCGGCCTGGAGCACATGCCGCTAATAGGTTAATTATTGTTCATTCATACTTGGGTGTTAACATACATCTTTATTCACAAACTGTTCCATCTCCGTCACAATCTTACGCCGTATCTGGTCATCATCCCCAATGATAGGTGGTGACGGATGTCTAACAGACCTCGGGGGTGTTGAGAATGGAGATTTCTCCTCAACCGGCTCCTGGGCAGACTCCTTAGCCGGCTTGTCAACGGTAACAACGGCAGTAGATGTAGAAAGGGTGCCACCGGATTCTAGTAGTCTTTGCATCCCCTTTTGGATTTGGCGGCGGATCGCCTCGTCGTCCTGAGGGGTATCTACCTGAGCATGAGACTGTTGGGCGGAAATAGCACCAACCACCGGCACAGCGACCGGCTGTACGGAAGTCAGCTGAGATATTTGCTGGCTCTCGCGCTTAATTTCAGGCTGCACCATAGATCCCGTTGACATGGACTGCACCATTCCCGTCGTGGGCTTTCGCCGAATCTCGTCGTCCTCGGTAGTACTCCGAGACAGCTTGGGGATAGTGGCCACAGGTAAGCCTAACATAGTGCTCGAATTGGGCTGGGAAGCAACAACTGGTTGTGAACTTTCAACAACTTCCTTCTTCTGCTCCAGCTGGGATACACCAGTTCCAACAAGGGACTGCTCCATATCTTGAGTGATCCTCTGGCGGATCTGTTCGTCAGCCTCTGTCGGGAGAGCGCTCGACGTCTGGGGCTGTGATTGCGATCGCTCGGCTGTCCAAGCTGGCTCAGGGACGGGTGTCACCGAAATGGCCCCGGCTTCCACCTGCTGGCTCTGACCGGAATCGCCAATCATCATTTGCTCCATCTGTTGAACGATGTTGAGACGAATGGCTTCATCGTCCGCGAAGGTGACTTGTGGTTCATTCTTGCCCTCCCTCCGCTCTCCATCCTCTCCATCCTCTCCATCCTCCCCCTCCTCCGCCTCCTCCACCCCCTTTAACTGTTTCTCCTTCTCCCGTTTTTCCTCCTGTTGCTCCTCCATATGTGCTGGTGGGGAAGATGTTCGAGGTTCGCTCCGCGCACTCCGCCCTTGACTCAAATTTTGTTCCATCTGTTGACTTACCGCCATTCGGATCCTCTCATCCTCATCCCGCCGCTGCTGCGACAGTTGCGGGCGAGCTGTCTCTTCGGGGAGAGTAGCGGACACATTTACAGCAGGCCCCTCAGACACAGTAGATGAAACTACCGCTGGCAATGAACACGCCCCCTCGCTTGCCTGATTTGCCTTGCGTAAGGGTGCCCGTGGAACCGCTGAGAAGAGGCGCGAGAAGAATGTACCATTCGTAGCGGTCGTCAGAGGCTCAGATTCTCCAGCCGGGAGGGGCTCATTCTGATCCTCCTCAACCACCAGCGGTCCGATAGCAGAAGGTGGTTCCGGGGGATCCCGGTGGTTATCCACACCACGTGGTGAGTGCGCCGCGCTGATACTCCTGGCTCTCCTTGACCTTCTCCCTCTATCTTCATCCTCTTCCGATAGCGACCTCTCCTTTTCAACATCTTCCAACTTCAAAAGCAGCTCTTCAATATCCCCCCGGGCCGTGTCGGGTTCGATCCAGTCATTCTCATCGTCATCCGGCAACTCAATGGCCTCCGCAACGATGTCATTCGTCTCGAGAGCCTCCCGCAATTGCCTATCCGTCTCTTCGGCCTTCTCCATGACGTCCATCGCCGCCTCCTCCTCCACTCTTGCTTCCTGTGCACTCCTCTCCTGCTCCAAAACGAGCAAAGTCTTCTCCCTCTCGCGAGCCTCCTCCTCTCGACGACTCTGGCGCATTCTCATTTCTTCAAGGCGCAGACGACCTTCCAGAACAACCCTCTCTCCATCCATCTCCCAACGGCCAACGCCCTCCTCCACATCTTCCAACTCGACTATCCACTTTTCTGGCAACACGTCCTCACGGCCTTCCAAAGCGTCCAGCATGGTATCCATTAATCTACCGGCTGTGGCCACCTTTTGCGTAATAGTTTCCTGCATGAGCGTGTAGCTTTCCTCTTCCAAACCACGCCAGTCAGTATCCAGCGGGCCAGACTCGGGGTTGATGGAGGGGTGATTGATAGCAGTATAGCCCGCGTCGAGAGCGTCCTTGGCGATCTGCAACCAACGCAGGAAGACGGGCACAACGCGAAGGACGGCAATTCGAACAGCCCAGATGGAGAGCAGCTTTGTCAGACGTGCGAGTGGTGGGAGCAGTTGAAGAGTTGTGGCAGCCAATATAGCAGAAGAATCGGTCAATGGATTAGCCGTGCCGGTACGATATGCTGATAATATGATCCGCAGTTAGCATCCTATGAGCCAAATATGGGGGGAAGAGCCATTCTTACATAAAACCCTATCTTTAAGGCCATCAACATCCAATTCCTCAATTTCAGACTTTATGGCTTCTATCCGGGCTTCATAGCCCTCCACTACAGATCGCCTAAGGCTCCCCCAATATTCTACACCCTCTTCAAGTTCGTCATCCTGATCCTCCTCCTCCCCTTCCCTCACATCAATCTTCTCGACCGGTTCAACTGGGGCCTGATCCGGCTCCGATGCCCCATCAACCGGCACCAAATCCTTTCTCGCCTCTGCGGCCCTCTGCCGCTGAATCTTCAATTGGTATGGTGTGAGTGGTTTTCCACCCCGCCCGAGGCTCGGTGAATCCGTCTGAGGTTTCAGGGTTTCCGCAGTCTCAAGCCCGGTATCATCCTTGGCAATCACGTGCTCATTCCTGCCAGCGCCATTATTCTCGGAAAAGAGCCTCCGCCGAACCGGTTTCGAACCATCTAGCATAGTATCCTCCTCTTCCTCTCGGATACTGCCCATGTCGGTCTTCCGTCGCTTTTTAGGCCTATCCGTGGGGGGTAGGTATCCATCTCCGGCATCTTTATTCTCCCGGTATGACCGCCGCCATTCTCGGTTCCAACCCTCCACTTCGCGCAGCCATTCGTTAACCTTGACGGTGCCTTCAACGGCACGTAGAGACCATTCCTTCTCTCCCGGCTTGAAATCAAAGTCCCCGGAGGTGGACAGACGGGCTATCGTGACGGGGGTCAGATGGGAGAGCAGAGGATCCGTGGCCAGGAGCGATTGTATCCGAGATTGTCGGGAAGGGCGAGTCGGCGAATGGGCCGGTGAAGAGATATTGGAGCGAGCGGGCGATGTCAAGCTAGAACGGAGCGGCCGGTAGTAGTGCGAGTTGGTGGTAGCCACCGAAGGTTCCGATGGCGGGGGTGGTGCGGAGTGGGGTGATAGGGGCGATGAGGTAGGCGGAGCGTATGGATGTTCGGATGATGTCGGCCGGCGGGGATAGGACATGGAGAGGGGAGTGAGAGATGGCCGGTCACTAGAAGGTGGTGGAGAAGCCATGGCAGGCCTAGAGCATCCGCAGCCCCGTAGCGCGTATGCGTGTTGTGGGGGGGAACCAGGCTAATGTGGGGCTGAATCGCCGATTTGAACGCTAGCGACTAGCTACCAAGGTGGAGGAGTTAAGGTGGGTAAGAAGAGCAGTCTCTGGAAGGAAAAAATCAAAAAAAATCAAAAAAATCAAAAATCAAAATCAAAGGAGAATTCTAGTAATATACTGGTTGCGGTAGACGATAAGGCTATGTCAAGTAAAGTCAATCCAAAGAAATACGAAGGGAGAATGATGGGATAAAAAAGATAAGAAATCAAGTGTAACGTGTTAAAGAGTGATTGTTGTTGCTGTTGATGTTGTTGATGTTGTGGATGTTGTTGTTGTTGCAGTTGAGTCAATGTGGGAGGGGAGATGAGGGGGTTGGACGTGATTAATGGTGATGGTGGTTGCGGTAGGACTTTGTGGGAGTGATGCGTGGTCGATAGTGTGTGGTGGATCTGCAGCCAAACGATGACGATGCGATGATGACTGGGGTCATTCGAAAGCGGTAGACAGGGTATATGTCGAGGTGAAACCCGCCAAAACTGTTGGCTGAACAACGGACGACGGACGACAACAAGAGTAAGGGAGTGAGCGAGTGTCTGAGAGTGATTAAGAGAGGAATACGGCGGAAGGAAAGAAGACAATAAGGGAATAAGGGAAAGCAAGCTGCGATAAGACAGAACAGCTAACCCGCAGGCAGCCTTGAGTGGATTTGATCGGGAAGCGTAAAAGAATGCCGGGCGAGGAATAAAAACAATACAGCGTGAACAATAATAGTATTATTATCTGATAGGATGTCAGTGATGCGCTTCGGTGGCTCTCTGCCCACTGTGATAGGATGTAGACCGGAAGGGCCCGGATCCTCTCCCACAATGATCCCTTCAAGTCAAGATTATAGAAGAAATGGTGACGGAGATGGTAGAAAGGGCAGCGCAGTGAATGAGGGATTTTCCAACTTCTTCATCATGGCACATGGTGGGTCGAACCCCCAAGCAGGCTTCCCGCACACAGTTGTGTTTATGTTTCTGTATCTCTGCGAGCGTCTCTCCCTCTCTCGCCCTCCTCTCTAGGCCGGACGGCCTCTATCCCATCCGTCCCCGTAGGGAGAAAAGGAAAGAAAAAGGGCCGCAGTCTGTCCGTCCCTCCAAAGCCCTTAAACTCTCCGATCGCGTAGATACAGGTTACCGCAGGTCGATCTTGGGTCCCACGCAAGCTCGCAGGCCTCCTCGATGGATGGATCGGCGCGCGAGTACCGGTAAAGGGGCGGAAGGAGTTGGAGGACAGGAAAGGACCCGCACTCCCTACGAGTGCCAGGGCGGTGGTGTTCAGGTTCCCGGGATAGAATTGGGGTCATAGTTATTCAATCCTCCCAGTTTACGGTACCATTCCGGTGCCGGTAGGCGAGGAAGGACTTCCTCCCGCGCGTCCTGTCCAGGAAATTGGAGTTGATTCGTTAATTTCTCTCCTGCCGGGCACAGACAGGCCGTGCGGGCCACTCGTCCTTGCTGCATGGCAAGCCGGAGGCTGCTGGCCCTGAACAGGGTTCGGAGGTAATCGGTCCAATTGCGGTGCAGTTCGGCAGATGGCCGGGTGAGGCTCTTCTGTCAACCGAGCGGAAAAAAAAATCCCTGCTTCCCCCGTACCGGTATAATAGAAGCTGGAAGCATCCCTCACTCGACATCCTCCGAGATGCCACAAACTCGCCTTGTCTCCCTGCCGTCATCCAAAATTCCTGACTCCAGAGAACTGTTCCGGTAATCCGACACCTTGTTTACGCCTCCCATCACAGAGTCGCTTTACGGTGCTCATGCCCACCGAACCGGAGGCCTTGCAGGATGTGGTGCAGAGCCATGGAAAAAGGAATCTGACATGATTCTGCCAAGCGGGCCAAACGAGCGAGGCTTAATCGTATCGTCATCAACAGTCTGAACGAACCGGGTCGATGCTTCCAATGGCTGCACTCTGCCGTATCCCCCCCCCACCCAACCTTCTCTCCCACCGGGTCCACAAATCGTTCCAGCACCGTCCGCACGCTCGAGTGCATGGCAACAAGTCTTTGAGGGGCAAGGATTGAGTTCACGTGCAGGAAAGCTCATCCAAATCCCGGCTCCCTCTACGAAGGATGGCAGTAAAATTCAGGCATTCCGCCACAGCTCCGAATACGGGTACCGGCACACTCCATCGAGGCTCCTGGCATCCCCAGACCGAACATCTTATACGGTATATACCGTGCCCGCACCCCATTATCTCGAAACCCTAATCCATAGACACCGACGGCAACAAACCTACCCGGCAACATTCTGTCAGCGGTAGTCTACGACGCCCAAAACATTGATACCCGTATCGTACCGTATGATACGTCAATCACACCCACTAGGGCCGACCTGTGATACCTGTACCGTACTGTACAGATCAACCCCCGGCACGACAGGCCGTATCCACGCAGATAGTCTACGGTACCAGTCCTATACTTGTACCGTATGCTATATCTATCTCTAGCGCACTACAACCACCACCTCGCAAAGACACACGATTAGCTCCGAGACATCCACGCACTCGCACTACACTCGCACTGGGATACCGGTATCGGTACTAGCCTTAGCCCGTGAGCATTCCCGCTCCCATTGAATCATCATTTGTGGTCTGCAACTGAGCCCCCCGCACGACTGCCAAAGAGATGCTACAAGTACTTTAAGCTATATCCTAAACGCTTTGCCATTTCAAATCTAACGAAGGGGTATCTGCCGCGGCGGTCACGGATTCATCCCACCATCCGAGCACAAACTAACCCTACTGGTGCTCGTACTTGTACTCCGACTCAGCGCCACCATCTTTAAGGGTCTAACCAAAAAAAAAAAAAAAAACCCCGGTACAGTACCGGTACCGTACCAAGAATCTGTAGAGAACTCAAAATCACAGGAGCACCACCGTACCGGGAAATGCACACATTGACCAAACCTCCAAATTTGCACCATTACCTAAAACCCACCTCCCATAGCCAACAGCAATAACTCAACAGTCATGAATCCCCGTTTCCACCGAGAAATCAGGCAAGCAAGCAACGCCCAAAGGTGAACCCGTCTCCATCCATCCGCCGATCCAGTACATAATTCTACCCCGGCACCACTATGCAACCCCACAAAGCCCCCAGAAAGCACAAGCACGTTCTCACATCACGACAACCAGCCACCCATTATCCGTCCCCCCCACCCGGGCATACCGAAAACCACTATCGCGCACCCCCCCCACCAGGGTATAGTACGCGGAACGTTGTTAACAAGCCGGACCGGGTGGGCTAGGGAGCGTCGGCGGTTTCCCGTATGTGTGGGTCGGGCCTGCTGGAGCCGGCTCGCGCGGGGGTTGGGTCGGGGTGTGTGTCGTTTCTTGCGGTGCAAGCCGTGGTGGTTGAGGTTGGAGGGTGGAGGGGGCCGGGATCGTTACTCCCGTATCGTGCATATATGATATGATGATGTCGATCGGTATGATAGCGCAACAGATGGAAGAGTGGTTAGAAGTTATCATATATGGCGACATACTGGTAGGCGACATGGGCGCTTGGTCGAGGGCGCTGGGGATGGCATCATATCAAGACGGAATGCAGCATCAATATCATCACTAATGGGTGCATTTCTGCGAAAAAGGTGAAACTTGCCAGCAACCACAAAACAAGCTGTATGGCTCCGAGTCTCTAGCATACGATAGAGCATCCTGCTACCTTCTTGAAATATATTTCAATTTTAAAACTGGCGTAATATTAAGCCTTTAATGATCATTTTAAGAATTGGGCACAAATATTATTATTTTTGCATGGAATGATTGCCCATGTCAAGATGTACCGTAATGTACTTATAAGGAAGTTTTTTTTTGAATATCTTCAAGAGCACAATCTATAAATTATTCCAAAGTATACATTATCCATCCATACTCTTTTCAATATTTCACAGAAATTATAAACCTGCATTAAGTATGTTAGATGCAACAATAATTGAGAAAAAGATTGCATGTTAGGTATCATGATTATAATATCAGGTTAATAGTTCTGCAAGTTTTATCTTATTTGGCAGTTATTCTGATCCTTTGATATATTCTGATATTTATATCCCCTTTTTTTAAACCTATTACGCTGGGAAGAACTGAAAGACTTTTTACGATATAATTAAATGGACAGCTGTGGCCAACATTCATCTTCTATTTCCATACTATTTCTGCTATGATAGGTTGTTGAGTTGTTTCAATTTCTTTGCCGATATGGTTTTTTTCTCTCAAAATTGGCCTGGTTGCTATGCAAACTAAAACTGATCAAAACTTAAAAATAAAAATAAAACTTGTAAAAAGCGAATTTAGCCTTTTTCCCCAAACTGCGCCCATTTGGGGTAAACTTCGCTTCGAGAAGAGACGAGAAAAAAAGCTTTTTAGCCATTGGAGTTGGACACATATTGCCAAGTTGCCATTCAATCACTGACACCCATATCCTACATATTCACCATCCCGCAATAGTCTACCCGAACATACCCTCCTCCGCAACCGACACAGTAAAAATAAAAATAAAAATAACAGAAATTAGAAAAAGAGACTATGATAGACGCAAAAAAAAACCCCCAAAAAAAACCATGGTACCAAAAACCCCTATATACTCCTCTCCGCCCTCCAAATCCCCACACTATCCCTAACCTCCTCAAAGGGAACCATCTGCCAATTCTTAACCTCCCTCCCGTTAACGCGTAGGGCAGTCTTGTCCATACGGATAAACACCTGCGCGGAGCCAAACCTACCAAAACCGAATAGGCCTGGCACGGCCAAGGAGGTTTCTATGGTTTCCCGATTGGAAATGAGTTCCGCTTCCATTTCTGCTTTACTGCCGAGTTGGCTTTCGAGGAGGTGCATCACTTTTATGTTGGGGAGGAAGAGGACTAACACTTCCATGAAGGGCTGTGATGGGTTAGCGTGGGTTCATTGGTCGAGCATGTATCGGGGGTGTCGGGGAGGGAGGGTATACCCATTGGTTCTGTTCGAATGAGAGGCCAAGCTCTTGTAGCTGTGTGCAAGCGCGGAAGAGTCTCTGCACTTCCGTTTTGTGCAGTATCCATTGGCTGTACAATCGTAACCGTTTGATACTCTTGTGGTTGGTCACCAATGCGTCAATAAACGCCCCGGCAGGAGCAGTCAACTCCGCTTCCTTCTCTCCATCTATCGGGTCCAGGATATACAGCTCCTCCAGCCCCTCGTAGGAGCTCAAGAATCCCGCCCAGAGCTCGGCCCGAGAGTTCACTCGCAAGCTACGCAATTTCAGTTTATGCTTCTTTTCCGGGGGCGGTGCTGATGGTGCCGATGTACGTGGCGTGCTAGTGCGACTCGATTTCCCCGCGGGACTTCCTGCGCTGCGCACACTTGCTGGCGAACTGGACGCAGCGGGTGAAGAGCTGTGATTCCCGAACAGGCCGGACCAACAACTGGTTGCAGTGATCTTGCAATCAATCAGACTCAATACTTCCAGTGCTTCCGTATCTAGCCAATCATCAACGACCCCACCCTCGGGAAAGTCGAATGACACATTCCGTAGCCCCATCTCTTTTAGCCTCAACTTTGTCCCCATGCTACCGGCCGGGCGGATCCTCTGTGGTAGAAAGAACGGCAGTAAGCCTAGCGGAGCTCGAGAGGCAAATCCAAGGTAGAGGGCCTCCAGTCGCGGCGACGAAAATATTGCCCCCGTGTAGTCATCGATACGTGCCAAGGTTGTAGGGATATTTGTAAAATGTAGAGACCTGATATTGGCGAACCCCGGTATAACCTCCAGTGGAGGCCGCAGAGGGGGCTTCTCACCCAACGAAGCAGGCTCGGCCGGAGGGTGAATCACGTACAGCGACCTAATCGTTGGATGTTTGGCCATCGCGCCGAAAAGGACCGGGTGAGGATATGACTCTGAGGTCCATCTAGGCAAGTCCGGTATCCAATATCAGTAAACCCTCTGACTCGGAACTGGTGGCTTCAACTCACTCAACCCTCTCCAGCCTTGTCATATTCCCCATTACCCCTGCCAGCGCCATGGCCCAAACCACTTCCATATCACTCCACATCCCACTGGCCCACCATTCGTCACCGCCCGGTATTTCCCCTCTGATTCGCAAGGTTTGAACACAGGATGCGATTCCAGGCTTCATCAGCGCGCCTAGCGCCGATGCCGATACACTTTGCTTCCTTCCTCCCCCGTTGTCCTCATCGTTTACCCTTGTCCGTGGAGCCCTAATGACCACAGTTCTATACAATCGAGGGACTGAGAGGAAGTGCAGTATCCTAGATACACGCGACACGCGGGATAAATCCGACGCAGATTCAACCTTTCCCCGTGATGGTCAGGGGTTAGTTCTCGATGAGGCAGTACTAGGGCAGACAAGGCACACGCACATATGAGATAATGGTACTCATGATGTCGAGTGGCAGCTGGCGCCTCAAGGGGTCGGGACCCGTGGGTGGCCGTCGCAAACCTGGATCGAGAAAATCATACAGCATGGTGAGCAATGTTTGGCGTAGGGTATTGCTAACAAATGGTTATGGAGATGACGAAAACCGAGGGGGGGGGTTGTTAATGATGGTAACGAGAAGGTCAAGATAAAAGCTTTCCCTCAAGTTCTGCCTCGGGCTCCCCCTGGCAGGGAGAGGGAACGGTGCAGCGAGTGCGTTTCAAGAGTTGGGGGTTGACTAGGTGACGGATGAATCACGTTCCGGTTGGAGGAAACCATGCACGCAGGCGGGATGCAAAGAGGGCAAGGGTTTGCTCGATGCATACAGAACCGGGGCAAGGGACAGTATTATACGAGTAAAATGATGATAGACTACGGTACCGGTACAGTACAGTACGAGTAAAATGATGATAGTCTACGGTACCGGTACAGTACTGTACCTCGTACAGTACAGTACAGTACAGTACCACCAGTACGGTGCATAGCGAAAGCTTCAGTATCATACCGCACTCGCAGCAGCCGCACTACCTGGTACCGGTGCCGGTAAGCGGGACCCTTACGGTGCCTCGGTCTCCACTGGAGTCCAGGCCGCCAGTCTAAATACGGCAACAGACCGTGCATACCGGCAGGTAATTGGGGGGTATCTTGGCTAATTATTCAGCAGAAAATTTCCCCATATGATGCAAGTCTCCCATTCCTCCTCACATTCAACCCTTGAAGGCCCATACAGCACCAACCAGAAGACTGAAAGGAAAATTACCCCGCAGATACGTTTCAATAACCAACCGGAAAAAATCTATGTAAAAGGAATTTCCAAAACTCTCAAGTGGGTAGGTGTTGTTTTCCACCACGACAATATTCGTCGTTGTTCGGCGGTATGATAGGACGGCAAGCTTTAAGGTGCCGGTACCATGCGTCTGAGAAGCACGATCCTAAGAGCCTCTCCGCTCCTCTTGCCCAGGTCAACGTTACTACTGTAAGGATAATTTTTGGATGAGCAATGGTGCCGCACCCGGTATCCGGTCCAGTCCATCAAAAATGATCCTTTGCAATTGCCAGCCAGTGGGAAGGTCTGTACCCCAGATGAGCTCGCTCTGGTTGACCAGTATGATACCGCTGATTCCAGCCAAAGTCAACAGCAACACCTCTGTTTTTCCGCCGCCTTTTTACGCCTGAGCCTTGTGCTCCTGCACTTTTTGACACTTGTGGGCAGGGAAGAATGGATGTCAAGTGCAGCTCTCTCCGATAGCCAAAGCTTCTTTTGACGCCCAGAGCTTGATAACCAAGTCTTAGCCACAATGCCGCACCGTACATAAAGTATCAAGCTGTCACTCAGATGAAGAAAGAGAATGGTCAGGCAAAGCACGATATACCGGTACTGTACACTTGACCCTTAGATACCCGGGACGAATGTGGGAGGGTCACCAACAGGGACCGGTGCCCACGCTATCAAGTACGGTACCAGTACGGTAATTATTTTTGTTACGCCGCTTTTACCATCTCCCCTTCTGCCCACCAATTAATCCTGTTCGTCTCACTCGCCCACTTTCGAAAGTGGGCGGGTCCCAGAAAAGTGGGCTCGGTGAATAATGGACGTTCTCCAGGAACCGTACCATCCAGCACCCGGATCCTTACTCAGGCGCTTTTTTCACGCTATCATATCGTATTACCGTACACCGGTATCCATTTGTTGGAAGTTGGGCTGTCCAAACCTAGATCGCTACTGGCACTCGTAAGAGTAATGCAACGATTGGACTACAGTAACCTGCCTCAAGTTAGAACAACCCAGAAGAGTGCGTAGTAAGAGCTCGTTCCATAAGAAGCGTCGGATCTCTCCACGCAGCGCTCAAGTCCGAACAGAGGAGACCTCTTGTCATTTTTGGATTGAGATATTTTGCCCGGGACAGCACAGCTTATGTGTGGCCGGTAGTGACTTCCCTGTATAAATAATTACAGGAATCACTTGAGAATTCAACGCTGTGCTCGACCGCGGTTCTACAGTACCGGTACCTGTAGACCAACGTTGCACTGTTACCGAGTATAGTACCCGAGCACCCTGCTCGCGCAACCTGAGACATTTTGGAGCAAATAGCTCCAAGCTGCGATCCCCTGCAGGTTGTGGACTTGTATTTCGAATACGGTACGGCAAGGCGACACCGGGGGGCGCTTCAATGAGCCCAGAACCTCCAGGGATCCCTTTTCGGGATGAAGGCAAGCTCTTATTTCGGCCTTCCATCCGCCCCTTATTAAAGTTGGCCCCACAATTTGTTCGGGCGAGGAAAGTGCAGCCAATTTTGCTACAAGTACTTAGGCACTCGAGTACGGTACTCGAGTACAGTACTGTACTACAGTAACCTAAACAAGTCACTTTCTAATACAGGTTGTACCCGCACTGCTTATTAACTAGAACGGTGGTACTTGTAGATTACTTTATGGGATGGCTCACCTTGGAATTGCTTCCTCCACTATAAAGATAGGGGCACAGGAAAGATAATTTCCCAGCTGCTGTCCTGGCACTCGGTGGGCGCCGGCCCCCCGTTGTGTAGGGCTTCGATATTTGGTGATAGGTCTGGAGTGGCACCAAGAGGTTTAGCTCCTGAAATTTTCTCATGGTATGATACAATACCGGTATGCAAACGGTTTTCAGCTTCGTAAATTTAAGCTTCAAAAGCAAAACCTTCCAACGCCGTGACCCGGCGGGGCAGTACGACACAAGGATGGGTACTTGTAGTAAAGTGCCGGTATCGCGTTCGGATACCTAGTATCGCGGGCACTTGAACAATTGAGCAATTTGTGCCATGTCGTTGGGCTTCCCTATCCTGGTAAGGCCTGGATTGTCGTATTTTTGGCCCATTTTCCGGAGAAGGAGGTTCCTGCTTCCCCTTAAACCTACTGAAATCTAGCGCACTGTCACATTTGCACTATCAGATGTGAACGCAACCACCATAAGTTACCGGTATTATACCTCTTTCCTGTTTCCCTTCAAGCGTATCCCACCTCGATCTTCTATTAGAGAGTTTGCGCCCGCAGACCTAGGTGGCGGTAAATCTCATTAATATATGTTATGCTAAAAGGCTTGGAGACCTGGGTGCCCAAATGCACCTGGCTGAGGCCCAAAAGTCAACTTTTAAGACCCCAAGTAAGTTTCTCAGTAACAATGTCAAAAATATATGACACCAACATATTTCTATGGATACCAAGGAGAGATAAGTGCAAAGCAGCTCCAAGAGAAATAAACAATATGGAGAATATGGTAGTCATGTAATAATATTGATTCTCTATTCTCTGCTCTGGCTATCAACACCTCACATTTCACTCAGCCGCTGTAACCCGGCCGCCAAGTCACCTGGATCCTATGCACAAACCAGCATCTAAGGTATGATATGTACAAGTATGGTTCCGGCCACCTATACACAACACCTCGATTGATGCAACGGGGGACGCCCAGGCATGCACTACCCTACCAATATAGCCCTAAAAATATTCAACCTGAACTTGTATTGGAGTTATTTTTATATTATTGTTTTTTTTATAACATGTACAAGTGCAATACAATCTAGCAACTTTA